AATTTTTCTAAAATTCTCCAAATTTTAATGTATACAATTTACAAACTTTTCATCCTTTTTCAATCAAATTACGGACTTTACGGACCCTTTTTCAAAAAAACGGACTTTTACGAGATTTACGGACCTAGTTCGAGCCCTGTTTATTTGATTTAAACAAAATTTCTTTGAGCTTCAAATAAAAGTTTTATTTAAATATTAAATTTTTCTCTGGGTGCATTTATGGATTAGCGACTGACTTTTTATTTTTGAATTAGTAAAATATTAATAAATTAGTAGAAATTACTATTTATTGGTAAAATATAATTCAAAAGCAAAAAATTAATCACTAAGTCAAAAATATTTTTAATAATTTAAATTTAGATAGAAGTTAATTAAATATTGTATGCATATCAAAAAAAAAATTGTTTGTTTTAATAATAATGTAAAACTCGCAGAAAAGTATTCAATTTCTTGGCACCATTTAATTATGGCTTCTATAATTAATTTCGAACGAGAAACTAACAATTAAGCACTGCTTAAGTGGCAAGTAAATGTCTCGTGACGTGATTAGAGTCTAGTGCGATAATATAACTGCTCAAGGAGGTAGACATCGAGAGGGATTTTCCACTCTTGTGCATTTCGTATGGAACCTAAAGTAGTAAAGAAATATACATCGAGAATATAGAAGATGTTACTCTAGTTGCAATGTTGTTGTATCACTTTCACTAACCCCGGTTTCTGCCCTCCCACGAGAGTCTCTCTCTCATCTCCCTGAGAGAGAGATCCCCCTCCGTCAGCAGGTCATACTTACGTCTTCGTGAGGTCGTTTCTTATGGTATGCTTATGGGCCTCAATCCCCCCACCCCCACCCCCTCCTCACTCCACACACATTTTGCCATCGAGGACCCAAAGAAACACGATACAAAATCCTATCTCATCGACAAACATGGAAGGAGGATCCAAGGATGGTGGATGCTGATGAGCAAGCATCCCCGGAGACAATGGTGGGGCACACGGACCTTCCTCTCGGGGTGCTTGCTTCTAACCAGGGGTATAAATTCTTAGCACGACACCTCCACCATCAGTCACCTTCTGACTTACTTAGATTTCAGTTTGTCCTGACTCAGGGAATCAGTTAGGTGAGTCCTTGCGATGGCCTCTTATCAGGATTCCATGTCGGATTAAAAGAAAAACTCGAGAGTTGGATATTTGTTCTCTTGTGTCGTTTTTCAATCAAATAAACGGTGTTTACTCGTGATACGTGAAGTGTATTATCCAATTTTCTCTCAAGATTGATTAAATTACATTTTTTTTTTAGTTTTTCTACTGTGATTCGTAAAATGGTTCTCTTTTGGTTCAGTGATTGAGATTTTTTTTGGGTTTTCATTGTTGGTGCATCAATGAAGAGGAACTGAATTATCTCCGAATTAATCGAAAACTTGATTCTTTTTTAAATCGTGAATTGATAGAAAAGAAAAATTGATCTTAAAATATAATCTGTCCTTTGAATTATTTTTTTTACGTTCAAATCAACGACGATAATTTTTTTACTTCATTTAATTTTTATTTTAACAAGAAAAATTATTTTGCACTAATTCATTAATATTTAATTCTCAACTAAATACAATTTCTAACTTAGTTATTTTAAATTTTGTTCAGAAAATTTTCAAAAATCTTTAAAGGCAAAAAAATTTTATTCATTTGAACTTTCAGAACTTCAGGAACATTTTTAAATTGGAATATTCAATTGTTTATCTTCAGAACATTGTTTTATATACTTATGTAATAAAAAAAAAATCATTTTACTTAAGCTTCTTTAAGAGAGTCAAAAGATTATGAATATTGTTAAAGAAACAGGAAAAGAACAAGAAACTCAAAAAATTTATATATATATATATATATAAAATATTTTTGAAAAGAAATTATTACTTAAAAATAAATTATTTAAAAAATTAATTCTTTAAGGAACAAATTATTCAAAAAATAAATTGTTTAAGAAACAAATTATTCAAAAAATAAATTGTTTAAGAAATAAATTATTCAAAAAATAATTTGTTTAAAAAATAAATTATTAAAAAAATAAATTGTTTAAGAAATAAATTATTAAAAAAATAAATTCTTTAGGAAATAAATTATTCAAAAAATAATTTGTTTAAAAAATAAATTATTAAAAAAATTAATTGTTTAAGAAATAAATTATTTAAAAAACACATTTTTTAAAGGAAGAAATTATTTAAAAAATACATTTTTTAAGGAATAAATTATTTAAAAAATACTTTTTTTAAGGAATAAATAATAAAAAAAAAATTTTTTATGGTGTAAATTATTCAAAAAATAAAATTTTTTAAGAGTTTCTTGAACTTTAAAAGTAATCAGTATTATGCAGAATCATTTTCAATAAGAAACGTTGTCTATTCTCACTTTTACTTATAAATTACACCATTTCTCTCATAATCACAGCTTCTTTTCGATTACGGTGAGAAACCACAAAAGTCAACATTATCGAATCATTGTCAATGACAAGCGATTGCAATCGAAATATTGTGGAAAAGCACATAATGTACAGTTAATGTCACTTTAAATTACTATAAATAATAAAAGAGATTTTTTCTATTTTAATACATAACGAGCAAAATAAATAAATAAACAAAAAATAAAAAAAATATTCAGAATAAAATGAAAAAAATTTAAATAAAATAAAAAGAATAAAAATAAAATAAAAAGAATAAAAATAAAATAAAATTGAGTAAAATAACAAAATAAAATTAAATGAAGTTTAAAATAATTAAAATCAAATCAAAGGTTCTTTTATTAAAAAAATTAATTTACGAATAAATGATAAATGAATAAATATTAATAATGGAATAAATAATAAAAATAAAGCCACCGATAAATAAACAAATATTTTTGCTCCTAGACTGAACTGTTTTTTTTATAATTTTAGAATAACAATTTAAGGAGGACAGTGGCAACAAACATGCGGCTGTGTTTGTTGTGGATGGGTGAGTAACTTTACAATTTTAATTTATTTACATACTAAAATAACAATTACTAAACAATTTTAATTATATTTTCTAACCAACACACTTTAGAGAAAGAAAATACTATGAAGTAACTAAAATTAATAACCTGCAAAACTGACTTTAGTTAACATTTTTTCTCCCTCCTTTCAAAAATGGTCAATTTTTATTTTTTAACTGTCAATAGTTATTTTTCAATTAATAACTAATAATGAATATTTCCCTGATGAAAATTAAACACTATGAATTTAATAAGTAATCTCTCAACTCTTAGTAAAAAAAAATTTAGGATAATAATCTAATAATAAAAATTGAAAGGATAAATCTCTTTTTGTAAATAAAACAAGAATTTAATGGATTTTCTTATCTAATATCATAAACACAATAACGATTACTGTATACAAGTGGCCTTTGGCACAGTAATTCAAAGAAATTAAACAATGTGAAAAATGCGTATATAATAATAATAAAAATAATAATAAAGAAAAAGAATTTTCTTTTCTGAACCATTACTCGAATAAATTTCATAATAATTCAGTGAATCATATTTTTGCCATCATCATCATAAAGTAATATATAAAATAATAATAAATAAAAAATTAATCAAAATTCCGATAAAAAAAAATTATTTCGAAAAAGAAAAAAAATGGTTCCATTGTGTCTACACATTCCTCAAGGACTATTCAAAGGACAAAGTAAATAACGAAAAATTAAAATATAATTTTTTGGGAGTAAAGATGAATTACTTGTTTTACATAAAAGAGCGATTTATGAAATTTTGTAATGTACGCCCAGGTTTCAATTAAAAAATCGTACAGGATCCTTTGTATAGAATCGAAATTTCGACAAGGGCCCTCGAGTTGATTACAGTTTTTCGTAACTTCCTTCCTAATTAAAATAAATTGAAGATAAGTTACACAGGTTTTGCACAGTGGTATTGTTCGAAGATTTTTTTTACACTGTACACGCAGGATTCGTTTACGGTTTAAGCCTATCCCCCCAGTTGAAATAAAGGTCAAGTGTATGCAGTAAGTCGTGTTGCAATTATACACTCATTACTAATTTACGGGTCTGTTGCACGTTCGGGTTAGATTCTGATTGTACAAAGAAGGTAAAGAAGCTATATCATCTTACCAACTATTCTCCGATTACAAATGATGATTATAAATGATTTTTTACAGATATATTAATCTCCTTAAATTTGCATCTATAAAATTGTTTCTTTAAATCAACTTTTGTTGATTTCTAATAATCAATACAACATTATATCTCATTTTTGAATACAAAATCCAGTTTTCAATTTTTCTAAAATTTTCCATTTTCTAAATATTCTGACAATATTACATCAAGTTTCCTTGAATTTCAAAAGTGTCTAAGAATATTTATTGTCTCAAATTGACACAATTTTTAATTTTATAAAGAAAATACAGTGTAAAATCAATATTTGTTTTAAATTATTTAATAAATTAAAAAAATTTTTGTAGTAATCAAATAATTTACTTTCACGTTTGTCTTATTTTACGAGCGAGGGAAAAATGATTAGAAACTATAAAGGTGTTAAAATTGGAGTGAAATATTTGAAGTTTCCGAATAACAATTCACACAAGAAATGCAAAAGATGTAATAGTTGGCACGCAAGTTGACTGATCGCGGGTAAACGTGCGTGCGAATCTCACACTAGAGAAGAAATAGTTTGAAAAATGTCTGACATAACTTCCCGCTAATTAATTAGAAGCATTGTCATGTATGACACAAAGGGCGACAGATTTGGTATTCTCACACTCAAGAAAAGACGCGAGACATGATTGGAATATACGTATAGATATATTTAAACAAACACACATCGAAATAAAGTAGTCGAGAGTAATACCGCTGAATTCTTCAAGATTACGAATCTCTCAAAAGAGAGAAAGAGAGAGAGAGACTATTCTCTTTTGCAATGGTAACACACTAAAGAATCGCTCGTCGAGATTCACACTAATTTCGTTTCCTCTGTTTCAGCCTCGCTGGCTATCGTCCATACAACTCTGGTGAGTTTACAAAACTAAATTTACAAAAGTTCTGCAACTTCCTACTTTTTTTTCTCTCTCTTTCGCCCCTTTCATATTATGATAATTTATTCAAATATTAACCAAAAAAAAAAACCCACTGAAATTCTAAGATAGATGGTAATTTTTTTTAACCAAGATCTGAATTCATTTTATACTGAAAAGTGAAAACTTAAAACAAAAAACAAGATTTCATAAACTTAATTGTCTTTGAAAAAAATATAAATCAGCAATTTTAATAGAATATTGTAAAATATTATTGTAAAAAAAAGTTGTAATAAAGTTGTCATTGTAAAAATAGTGATTTTTTTCAAATTTAATATTTTATACAAATGAAATGTATGTTGAAGCTTTCATTATTAAATCAAAAATTGCAATAGTATACAATTAAATTATAAAATAACAAGTGTAAGAGCGCAGATACAATGATGAGATTGTTCAAACTTTTTCCAACTGAAAGGTCGCTGTCACCAGCGACATGTACTTACTTTGAGCTGTCTTAAAGCAAAACTGCAAATATTGTCGATGCTGTAACAACCTTTTGTTTATGAAAAATGTCAAAAGATCATTGCCAACAAGATGAAGACAAAAAAAAGTAAAAATAGACTTCAAATTATACAATTAGATTTTAAATAACTCCATTTCAATACCACCTGCCTAATGTCATACTTCAAGAAATGTCTGACTCATCATCAATCAAGCACGAGTCACTCTTCAATCAAGATTCCTGTGCAACAGAACATCAATTTATTACTTTGTGTTATTAGGCTCAAGAAGATGAAGGATATAGCTACCCACGACCTAGTAAACCTTTCATACCTGGATCACCAGGAGGGACCAAATCACCAACTAATGGTGGAGGTTATCCAGGATCAGGCCCATCGAAGACAACTCCAGGAAGACCGCAAGGTCCCAGTGAACCCGGACAAGGAAGACAAGAACCAGGTTATCCAGGTTCCGGAAGACCAAGTGGACCAAGTTTCCCAGGACAAGGTCCACAAGGACCAAGTGGATATCCTGGGTCTGGAAGACCTTCCGGACCCAGTTTTCCAGGACAAGGTCCTCAGGGACCAAGTGAAGGATATCCAGGTCCAGGAAGACCGACTGGACCTGGTTTCCCAGGACAAGGTCCTCAAGGACCAAGTGGACAAAGTCCTCAAGGACCAAGTGGACCAAGCTTTCCCGGACAAGGCCCTCAAGGCCCAAGTGGAGGATATCCCGGTCCTGGAAGACCCACTGGACCTAGTTTTCCAGGACAAGGTCCTCAAGGACCTCAAGGACCAAGTGGACCAAGTTTCCCAGGACAATCCCCTCAAGGACCAAGTGAAGGGTACCCTGGCTCTGGAAGACCGAGCGGACCAAGTTTCCCAAGTCAACGACCAAGTGGACCTAGCTTTCCTGGGCAAAGTCCTCAAGGACCGAGTGAAGGATATCCTGGTCCAGGAAGACCAAGTGGACCGAGCTTTCCTAGCCAACGACCAAGTAGTCCAAGTTTTCCCGGCCAACAACCAAGTGGGCCTAGTTTTCCTGGACAGGGTCCTCAAGGACCAAGTGGACCTAGTTTCCCTGGACAAGGTCCACAAGGACCTAGTGAAGGATATCCTGGACCTGGAAGACCAAGTGGACCGAGTTTCCCAAGCCAACGACCAAGTGGACCTAGTTTTCCAAGTCAACGACCAAGTGGTCCCAGTTTCCCTGGACAATCACCTCAAGGCCCAAGTGGACCAAGTTTCCCAGGACAATCTCCTCAAGGACCAGGTGAAGGATATCCTGGACCTGGGAGACCAAGTGGACCAAGTTTCCCAAGTCAACGACCAAGTAGCCCAGGCTTTCCAAGCCAACAACCAAGTGGGCCAAGTTTTCCCGGACAGAGTCCTCAAGGACCTAGTGAAGGATACCCTGCGCCTGGAAGACCAAGTGGCCCAAGTTTCCCAAGCCAACGACCAAGTGGACCCAGCTTTCCAGGACAGAGTCCTCAGGGCCCAAGTGGACCAAGTTTCCCTGGACAAACACCGCAGGGACCTAGTGAAGGATATCCTGGTCCTGGAAGACCGAGTGGACCAAGCTTTCCAAGTCAACGACCAAGTGGACCCAGCTTTCCTGGACAGAGTCCTCAAGGACCAAGCGGACCAAGTTTCCCTGGACAAACCCCTCAGGGACCTAGTGAAGGTTACCCTGGACCTGGAAGGCCAAGTGGCCCAAGTTTCCCAAGCCAACGACCAAGCGGACCTAGTTTCCCCGGACAAAGTCCTCAAGGACCAAGTGGACCCAGCTTTCCCGGACAGAGCCCTCAAGGACCCAGTGGATATCCTGGTCCTGGAAGACCAACTGGGCCAGGCTCTCCTGGACAAGGGCCTCAATCACCTAGTTTCCCAGGACAATCACCTCAAGGACCAGGATATACAGAACCTAGAAGACCAGGACAAGGTCCATCCGGACCGAGTTTTCCTGGTCAAGGACCTCAGGGACCTAGCGGTAATGGCTATCCTGGATCATCGCGACCAGGTGGTCAAAGACCAGTAAGAACATTTTTGTGAAATATTCACATTTTGCTGATGACAAAATAAAAGAGGTACATTTTTTTTAGTCATCTCCTGGAAGTGGTTCAGACTTTGACGGATATCCTAAAGAAAGGCCCTCAGTACCCTTCCCACCTTCTTCAGGACAAGGCGATTTCTCAAAAAGACCTGGCGAAAAAACAACCGGAGGATACCCGTCTTCACCAGGTAGTCAACCTGGTCAACCTGGAGGATATCCTGGAAGTGGAAGACCAAGTGGAGAACGACCCGGTTCTGGAACTGGATCACAAGGCTAGTCAAATATTTTATTGCTTTCGAAAGTAAAATTGTGAAAAAAGGGTAAAAGTTATGTTACTGCTATTGATTTACGATTCTTAGGTTATCCTGGACAATCTGGTAGACCTGGTCAACCTGATCAGTCTGGTGGATACCCATCAGGTGGAACTAAAACACAAGGACCAGGATATCCAAGTAGTAGGCCTTCAACCCCATTTCCGAGTGTTGACAGACCAGGAACGAGCGGAACCGGATCTCAAGGTACGATTATAACACTTTGAAAAGGCTAATTCAATCTTTTAGTATAAAAAGTAAGAAAAAGGTAAATATTTTCCGCTAAAGATTAATCTGTGGTTCTTTTCGATCGATAACAAGGTTATCCTGGCCAATCTGGAAGACCAAGTCAACCTGGTGGATATCCAAGTGGACGACCTTCAACATCATTTCCAGGTGGAGAAAGACCAGGTTCGGGAGGATTTCCATCAACCCCTGGTGGTTCAACTGACGGAAGTGGATCTCCAGGTATTGATGATAATTTACTATTTACTACTTTATTACTCCTATTTACTATTTTTAGTATTTACTAGTTCTAATATTTATTGAATAGTCAGAATTATTAGTAAAAAAAGAAAAATTAATAAAACCGTGTCGAATTTAAATATTAATTACGTTTCAGGCTATCCAGGCAAACCTGGACGACCTGATCAATCTGGAGGATATCCAAGTGGCGGAGGTGCAACAAAGACTCCATTCCCAGGTGGAGAAAGACCCGGATCAGGAGGATATCCTGGATCAGGCGGTCAACCTGGCGGACAATACCCAGGAGGAGAAAGACCAGGATCAGGAGGTTATCCTGGATCAAGTGGTCAACCTGGCGGACAATATCCAGGAGGAGAAAGACCAGGATCAGGAGGTTATCCTGGGTCGAGTGGACAACCTGGCGGAGAAAGGCCTGGATCGGGAGGATATCCTGGATCAAGCGGTCAACCTGGTGGACAAAGACCTGGTTCTGGAGGTTATCCAGGATCAAGCGGACAACCTGGTGGACAAAGGCCTGGTTCTGGAGGTTATCCAGGATCAAGCGGACAACCTGGTGGACAATTTCCAGGAGGAGAAAGACCAGGCTCAGGTGGATTTCCAGGATCAGGTGGTCAACCCGGAGGACAATTTCCAGGTGGAGAAAGACCTGGATCAAGTGGTCAACCAGGTGGACAATTTCCAGGTGGAAGCTTTCCTGGCGGATCATCAGGTGGTGGACATGGTGACGATGGTACTTACAATGAAGGAGACTATTCAGCAATACCTGGTGAGCCTGGTCAGGATTATCCTGTTTATGCCGATATTCCTGAAACTAGTTTCAGTTGCGATTCACAACAATTCCCCGGATATTATGCTGATGTCGACACACAATGTCAAGTCTTCCACATATGCCACAATAATCAAACATACGACTTCCTTTGTCCTAACGGAACGATCTTTAATCAAGAATACTTTGTCTGCGTATGGTGGAATCAATTCGATTGCAACTCAGCTCCAAGTTTGTATTACTTAAATGAGAACCTATACGATTACACGATAATGGGACCCCAAGGACCAATGGGACCAATGGGGCCACTGGGTCCTCAAGGACCAGGTGGACAAGGACCAAGAGGGCCTGATTTTCCCGGACAAGGTCCTCGAGGACCGAGTGGACCCAGCTTTCCAGGACAAGGTCCTCAAGGACCGAGTGGACCTAGTTATCCAGGACAAGGTCCTCAAGGACCAAGTGGACCTAGTTTTCCAGGACAAGGTCCTCAAGGACCGAGTGGGCCTAGTTATCCAGGACAAGGTCCTCAAGGACCTCAAGGACCAAGTGGACCTAGTTTTCCAGGACAAGGTCCTCAAGGACCTAGTAGACCCGGTTTCCCTGGTCAAGGTCCTCAGGGACCAAGTGGACCCAGTTTCCCAGGACAAGCTCCATACCCAGGTTCTGGAAGACCTAGTGGACCCAGTTTTCCAGGACAGGGTCCTCAAGGACCAAGTGGACCCAGTTTCCCAGGACAAAGTCCTCAAGGACCAAGCGGACCAAGTTTCCCCGGTCAAAGTCCGCAAGGACCAGGTGGATATCCAGGAGCCGGAAGACCAAGTGGACCCAGCTTCCCAGGACAAGGACCTACAGACAGACCTTTCCCACCTGAGGGACCCGCAAAACCAGATCGTGAATATCTACCGCCACTCGCTGGCTAATTATTCGCCATTACTAACAAAAACTAAATTCAATCACATCTTGACGTCATCTAATTTCAATTATTTCATTCTGGACAACAAAACACTCGTGATACTATTATCATGCATTGATATTTTATTCTTCGGAAGATATTCCTGACTCGAGGAAATCGATAAAATTCAATGTAACGGATATCACCTTTTTTGCGATCCCCCCACACCACTGTTGGTGCCGGAAGTGTAAATACGAGCCTCTTTTACCTAGTAAGTTTATTAATAAGCAACTCAAACGTCGCAATAATATCGACGATAACAGTTTAGTTAAATATAATTGTTTTCTATTTGCATAAGACAATTCGTCCGAATTTGAAGCTATCAGTATTTTCTTTTGTAACCAATTTTAGTAAAGTTTACGATTGATATTTGATAAATCGATCCGTGTTAATTCGCTTAGATTTTTTTTTAATCAGTTGGACTCTTTCTAATCCATTTACACTTTAGTTTCAAGTGTAAATAATTTTTATAAAATCTTATAAAGTTATTTATTCTCTTTAAAGCTTAATGAAGTTACCATTAATGAATAATAGGCATCGATCAATTTTTAACTGATTCGAAGAAAATGTACTCTTAGAGTGCAAATAAAATTATAACGTCGTGTGCCTAAATTCTGCTAAGTGCGTTATTTATAATATTTACATTTTTCCTATATCTTAGATCAATATAAAGAAGAATTTGTCAAGTGTCATAGATTAATTCCATAAATTAAGAAACTTGAAAATTAAAAAAAGATTTAACGTTATTGTAGTGAACAGAATTTTTTTTACCTTAGATTAATTTTAATATTTTGTCTAACAAATGTTATATGAACAATTGGACCAGTAATTATAAAATGAATTTTGGGCATAATTAAAAATTCTACAAATATAAATTTTACAAATGAAATAACTTTATATATGAAGTAGAATTTATCACTCGGTGTGTAAAATTTTGTACTAGTAAAAAAAAATTATTCAATGTAATGCTCATTTTAGAGAAGAAAATATTTCTAAATACTTGTTCAAATCGAAAAAAATTGAGTAAAGAAATAATTACTTTTTATTTGTATTTTGAGCTCATTTTGCCTCTCGCTCAATAATATTACCTGATTTTTCTATAATAATAAAATGACAGTAATCTATCTATTTTTTTATAACAATGGTTTGTGACTCCTTCGTGGGATGCCATTATGTATATTTTATACGCGAAATAAAGGAAACACCTTTGCAAATAATCAGTTTATTAAGTCACTTAAGAAATCCTTTAACACCTATATTTCTACATGATTCCTTTCCCTCTAATTAGTCATCTGAGGCGTGTACCTTACATCGACGTTCATCATATTTATACTGAATCTCATTATTTTATTAAAAAAAAAAATTCCCATGAATTTTGCAACTATTATTTTTTCCTGATTTCGTATACTTCTTTGGCATTTCAATTTAATTCAATTCGCTCTTTTATAACTAATTTTGCATGTTGGAATTCATATATTACTCGGAAACCACAAAATTCTGTAAGGTAATTGAAAATTCAGCTTCACTGCATCAAGTTTATTATCTATTTATTTCTACCCTGTTATTTTCAACTATACAAAAAATACACAAACAAAATCTATAATTGGAAAAATTAATCAGCAAATTGAGGTACGTATATTTAATTATTAAAATACACAAACATTTCAAATGCTAATTGAACAAACTGTTAAATTTATTATAAACCTTGTGTTCAAAACTTCCAATTGAAAAATTAAGTTTAACAAACTTTTTTTCAATCAGGGCAATTTAATTATTATTACAATCAATATCAATGTGGACTGTTTTATTTTGATGACCTAGTCTTTTATAAATTAGAGAAAAATTTTATTTATTTCCATCATTTTCTTTATTGAAAGAGAATAATATTGAATAATAGTTTATTGAATAATACTGACTATTTTCCATACATTATTGAATTTTGAAAAATTAATTTTATAAAAATTTCAAATTCTTGAATTTATAACTAAATAAATTTTAGAATTTTTCTCATTTGAATTGATGGGTGAATAATTTTATCTCAATAAAAGAAAAACATTACAAAACTTGAGGTAATATAGCTACAATTTTTAAGAGTAGAAAACTAAAGATGAGTAAATTTTATAAATTTAAATATATTATTTATTAATAAAAATTATGAAACTTGACTCATACCGGCATTGAAGTCTAATGACGATAATATAATATTTTCATCGTCTTTAGAATCGATTTCTAATAAAAACCCTATTGAATTGAAATGTTATGAGTAAAAATATATACAGTTCTCGATTTACAGACACGATGCGTCATAAATTTTATTCAACCATACTACAATGCACGATAAAACAATAGTAGAATTTTCGAAGGTAATGAAAAATGGTCGTAACATTGTGATTATAAACGAATTAAATTGTTGAATGAATGTCTTTGAAATAATGCTGCTGACTCTTTTTTTTTGTCTGAAATCAGATATTTACGCAAGAGGAATGTTTATATCGCATAGTTGCATAGCTCATCCAATGATTGGAACCTTTCTTATATACGCTATGCGTGATAGCTGTTGCAAAAGGGATATCCGTTACATTCGCCGACGCCGTTGCCGTCGATTATCGATTCTGTAATTTTATTATTCATTAATTTCATGGTGGGGCTACCGCATGTATCCAGCATCTTTGTATATAAAAGATCGTGACACTTGTTTATATCCGAAGAATTTTTTTATGCCAACAAAATTATATAATAACTCATCACCTCAAGAGATATAAACTTGCTCTAATGTTCGATATATGCAGTAAAAGAAAAAAGAATTTTCAATAAACACTTTATTTTTTATAAAATCGTAAAAAACAACTGAGTGATTATTTTCTTGAAAGGATATAAATGCAAAATTAGTTCTTAAAATAGAATGTGTAATGAAGGGATCGCGGTCATATGATGACACAGTGACAAAGAGGAGCAATCAACCAACCATTTTCGGAATCAAGTCGTTAATTACTTAATTAGGACATTGTCCTTTTTTAACAGAGTCTTGATTTTTATTTCAAGTATCCCAAACCTTAGACATAATGAAGACACTTTAGGCCATGAAAATTTACTGAAGTATTTTTACAGGGTTGACACAAAAATTTAATTCTGTTTATCCCTGACTTTCCCCTTATTTCCAGAAACAATTTTTACCTTTTCGCTGACCCTACAGAATATTATGATCCACTCTAAAAATCATTAGATACTCAAAAAAAAGTTCTATTACATTTATTTACGAATTTCCTTAATTGTAAAATTATTCAAAAACAGCAGTAACTTCAGTTTTAAATAAATATTTAATCACTATTATTTTTCCATGGGAATTAAGATTTTCAAAAATTTCAAAATCAAATCTTTTTAAAATCAATAACTAATAAGAATATTTTTATAAAACATGAAGAAAACGATCACTCCAAGTCTTTGACTCTGCGTAATCGGTATCTTTATGTTTTATAATAATTAAAGGTGACCGAGCGATAAAATAATTATTTTACATCATGACATAAGAATATATTGTTATTGTAACTTCTTCAAAATAATTTCCATCATTTCAATTCAATTATTATTTTCAACAATTTTAAAACAAAATTCTTCTTTAAATCAATTATTTTTAATAATTTTTGAAAAAGTTCTTCTTTGACAATGTTTACATTTCAATTTTACGTGAAATTTCAATCATTCAAAAATACTTCAATAAATATACATTAGAAAATAAAAACTTCAAATAATTTTAAAAAATTTCGATTAAGCTTTTTGAAATAAATTAGTTGCACAAAATTTTTAATTAAAAGTATGAAAAATTCAGATTTTCAAAAAACTTAATTTGAAACATTTACAAAATTCAATTATTTATTAAAATAGCAATTATTAGTAGCTTCTCCAAAATTCAATTATTATCTAAAACTTTAACTAAAATTAATTGTCAAATCAATTTTTATTAGAAAATTCTATGAGAATTCAATAATTTAAATACAAATATAGATAATTTATTGAATAATTGAATGTTTCTTAAAATTCAATTCTTAAATACATAAATTTATTAACAAATTTTTTAATAATTAAATTCTTTCGACGAATTTTAATAAAATTTTTAAGAATAATTAAATTTTTCGAGAAATTGCATTAAAAATAATTGAAATTCTGCAACGAGTTTTATTGTTTATGAAAATAATTGAATTATTGCGAAGAATTTATAATAATTGAATTCCTGTGAAATTTTCATTATTTTAGAAAATAATTGAATATTTGTGTAGAACGTTGTCAAAATTTTTTTCAAATAATTGAATTCTTTTGGGAAATTTTATTAAAATAATAGATATACAAATTATTGAATTAGGAAAAATTTGTTAAAATAATCGAAATTTTGCAATGAATTTTATTAAAATTTTTAAAAATAATTGAATTTTATTAATTTTGAAAATAATTGAATTCTTGTGATGAATATTGTTATTTATGAAAATAATTAAATCCCTGAAAACAATTTTTAAATGAAAATAATTGAATTACTGCGAAGATTTTAATGCCAAATCTTAAAACATTTGATTTTTTCGAAAAAATATATCCAAATTCTATTTAAAATAATTGAATTCTTGTGAAATTTTTATAATTGAATGTTTGTGAAGAATATTGTTATAATTTTTGTTTAATAATTGAATTCTTTTGGGAAATTTTATTGAAAAATTATTGAAATGAGAAAAAAATTTGAAAATAGTTGAAATTTTACTATGAATTCTTGTGACGAATATTGTTATTTATGAAAATAATTGAATTTTACAATTAGTTTTATAAAAATTCTTGAATATAATTGAATTTCGGTGAAGAATTTTTCTATTCATAAAGATAATTGAAATATTGACGAGATTTTAAAAAAAATTTTTGAAAATAATTGAATATCTGGAAAGAATTTTAATATTTATTAAGATAGTTGAATTGTTTCAAAGAATTGCGTTAAAATTTAAAAAATTTAAACAGAATTTTCTTATAAATCCTAAAAATTGAATTTTTTCAGTACTTTTAATATAAATCCATGACTTTTTCCTGATTTACAGACAAAATTTTGACCTTTTCCCTAAATAATATTCTGATTTA